GGGGCCGCCATTGTGCGCGGGGACCACCAACACCGGGCTCGGGGAGGGGGCCGTCGCGGCCGCGGCCCGCCCCCGCCGACGCCGGCTTCAACTAGGCGGCCCGCCCATAGTGGTCAGACACCAGGCGACGGCGGGGGAGGGCCGGGGGAGGGGCAGGGTGGGTCTGTGTCGCGGGGGACACATGTGCGTGTGCGCATGTGTGTATGTGTGTGTGCGTGCGTGTGTGCGCGTGCGCGCGCGCCTGAACACCTCCCGACAGGAGAGGTATATATATGAGCCGCCGTGCGGCCGGACCGGCTGCCAAGCCTGCTCGTTCCCCTGTAGTTGTGCTTGTCGTTTGTGTCTCATCACCGCGCCCGTCTCCGCTTCAGTCCGTCACCATGTCCATCGGCACCCTCTATTCCTACCCCCAGAACCCCCGCTCCCTCAAGGCGCACATTGCCGCCAAGTACGTCGGCAAGTCCGTCGAGGAGCCGGTTTTCGACTTCCCTGCCGGTCTCCAGACCGACGAGATGAAGGAGCTCTTCCCCATGGCCAAGATCCCCGTCTTCAAGACTGAGTGCGGCAAGCCCATCTTCGAGTCCAACGCCATCGCCTACTACGTCGCTGCCCAGGACGAGTCCGTCGGCCTGCTCGGTGCCACCGCCTACGAGAAGGCTCTGGTCCAGACCTTCATGTCCTTCGCCGACAACGAGATCAACCCCCACCTGGCCACCCTCCTGTACCCGATCCTCGGCTACTACAAGTTCGACAAGGACGCCCACACCGCCGCCGCCTCCTCCCTGCGTCGTTCCCTGAACGCCCTCGAGAAGTGGCTCATCACCCGCACCTATGTTGCCTCTGAGCAGGTCACCATCGCCGACATCGTCCTGTTCTGCACCATGATCCCCCTGTACAAGATGGTACGCCCGGTCGCCCGTCCGCCCGCTCTCTCTCTCTCTCTCTCTCCCCCTCCTCCTCTCGACGCAAGTATTTATTGCAAAACTGCCGTGTATCTCCTCACTGCGGTGGTTTTTCCTGAGACTTGCAACATTAAAGGCTGTAGTTTGAGGCCAGGTCTGAGTCTATCGGGCTTGTGTTATAGGAAATCTGCCGACAACCCATCCTCCCTTTCTTCTTCCCCTCTCCCTCCCTCCCTCCTTCACTTCCTCTCTCTTCTTCTTCCCCTGCTGACATTCCCCGCTCTTCCTCTCCTTCACAGTACCTCGACACCATCACCCGCGCTCCCTTCGTCAACCTCAACCGCTGGTTCAACACCATCCTCAACCAGCCCAACGTTGCCTGCCTGGTGACCGACTTCGAGTACTGCGAGAAGGCCGTCGTCTACGACCCCGCCATCCACAAGCCCGCCGCCGCCAAGGAGGAGGCCAAGCCCGCCGCCGCCAAGGAGGAGGCCAAGCCCGCCGCTGCCGCTGCCCCCGCCGCCGACGGCAAGGAGAAGAACCCCCTGGATCTGCTCCCCCCCTCGTCCTTCGTCCTGGACAACTGGAAGCGCTTCTACTCCAACAACTCCGAGGTCGACTCCATCAAGTACTTCTGGGACAACGTCGACCTTGAGGGCTACTCCCTGTGGCTCGCCAGCTACATGGACAACCACCTCCTCAAGCAGACCTTCATGACCTGCAACCTGATCAACGGTCTGTTCCAGCGCTCCGACCGCGCTCGCAAGTACGCCTTCGGCTCCTTCGCCATCTTCGGCGAGGACAACAACTCCGAGCTCTTCGCCATCTACCTCGTCCGTGGTCAGGAGATCCCCTTCGAGCTGGCCGACACCCCCGACCTCGAGTCCTACACCACCAAGAAGCTCGAGATCAACGACGAGACCAAGGCCCTCGTCAACGCCTTCCTCACCTGGGACGACTCCATTGAGGGCTGCAGCTTCGCCTCCATCACCAACAAGAAGTTCAACGAGGGCAAGATCTTCAAGTAAGCGTCTTCGCCTCCCCCTTCTTCTTGGTGGTGCCCCGTTCTCCCTTCTCCTTCCGTGTTGACGCTGCTTTTCTTGCCTGCGTCTCGTTCCTCTTCCCCCACTTCTCAAGGGGGGGGGGGGCAGGAGCGAGGTGTGTGCGAGTTCCGCGGCCGTCCCTTTCGGTGGGGGGGGAATGTCGCTGTCCCTTCCCAGGGGGGTGCTCTTTCTCCAAAGAGCACCCTTCAAATTGTGTGCCCGTGTGTGACAGGGCGGCGAGGGGGGAGTTCATCTGTCTCCTCTCGCGCTCGCGCGCACGCGTCCACTGCCCCCTTCTCGCGTGTATTTTTCCCCCTTTCCCCCTCCCTCTCTTGTTAGCGCGCGCATATTTTGCGCCACGGCGAGAGACAATCCCCGAAAGTCCACAAATATATGTGAGAGCTCCTCCCGCATCTTCCCTGTTTTTCTCTTCTGTGTGGGGGCGAGGCCGTGTTGTGGTTTTCCCTCGCGTGTGTCCCAGCCACCAAGCGAGACGCAGCGTAGTAGTGTGTGTCCGTGCGTGTGCGTGTGTGTGTGTGTGGGGGGGGGAGGGGGGACAAGGGCCAGGGTTTCCCCTGCGTGCACAAGGGGAGCAAGGCGCGTGCCCAGCCCCTGGATGGGCGGCCTTTCCCGCCGGTTTGCTGTGCACTTTTTAATCACCTCAAAATGGGACCACATTCGAAGGCGCAGAAGTGAGCTTTTTTTTTGAGACCACATGGTGCTACGTCGGGGGGGGGAGGGGGGCGTCTTGCGGATGGTGCGATGTCGGGTCACGCAGCAGCCCGGATAACCACATGATCAGATATCATCACAGATCGTTCTTGTTGATAGATCCGACATATCAGATCCATCAGGTTTTCTCTGGTCCGAGTTGGCAGCTGGGGCGGCCCGCCCGTCTGGCGTGCGGGTGTGCGACGACCGTCCCAGCATCTTGTTCCTTCCCTCTCCCTCGGGTCCACACTCGAGGTTGTGCTGCCTCCGAACAGCAGATCACTACATTCACGCGCCAATCGAGCTTGCTGTTGTGGATGGCAATTTGCCGCAGGGCTCCCCCCCCGGCGGCGCCTCACATCACCGTCCCCTTTGCCTCCCTGTCCGCGCCCCGCCCCCCCTCAGCACACCAAAAACAACATACTCCCCTCTCTCCCTCTTCCTCTCATTCACTCACACTACTGCCCTCCCCTCTTCGCAGCCGCCTGCCGGTGAAGTTGGGTGTTTGTTTATGTGTTTTGGTTTTCGCCTGGAGGATGGAGGGAGTCGTGTCTCATCGTCGGTGTTTGTGCGGGTGTGGCCATCGGGGGCGCGCACATGTCCAGGAGGGGGGGGAGGGAAATGGGAGAAGAGGAAAGTATGCTCCCTTTCCCCCGCTCCCCGGCTTAGGCTCGACCGTGTGCGGAAATGTTGCCTGGAGGGGTGTGGACCGGTGTGGCAGGGAAAATGCGAGGAGCCAGCTATACCCCGACGTGCCTCCACAGGCCGAGCGTGATAAGTATATGTATATATATATGAAGGAGCATGGACGTGTGCTCGTGGCTTTAGCCGAGAACGGCTGCCACTTGGCGGTGGGCAGCTTGTCCGGCAGCCAGGGCGGCGCCAGCCAGCGCGGCAGTGGCATCGACCAGGACGGCCTGAATGGCAATGGCCGCCGCGGAGCTGCCGCTGGCGCTGGTGCTGGCGCTGGTGCTGCCACTGCCACCACCACCGCCACCACCGCTCTTGATGCACTTGTGCCACGCGGGGAAGCCGCAAATAATGCAAACGAACAAGTAAACAAGGACGATGGCGATGAATCCGAGCAGGACCATCAGCTTGACATTCTTCCACCACATGGCGCGCTTCAGCTGGGTGGACTTGCGCTTGAACTCGAAGGAGTGCTGGTGCAGGCGATCGGTCTGGTCCATCAGGACATCGATGCGCTCACCGCGGTCCATGACCTTGGCTGGAGGGAGTGGCATCGTGCCGGGCCGGAAATGGTGCGGAGTCAGAAGTGTGAGCGTGCATGTGTGTGTGTGTATGTACATATTATATACATCCGTATGTCTATACATGTATATGCGGGTGTGCGCCCGTACCGATGTTATCGTGCATAATCCCCTTGACAGCGTCAAGCTCCTCCTGCGTGCGGGCCAGGACGTCCGACTGGGCAGCCACGCCGGTGCGGTTGTTGAAGTCGCTCACCAACTGGCCCATGGTCGGGCCGAACTCCGACTGGAAGGCGTACGGCAGGGCCTGGTCAATGGTGGACACGTTGAAGTTCCGCTCGAAGCTGTTGCGCAGGTGCTTCAGGTAGTCGTAGGTCACCGAGCGCGAGGCCGTCGGGGGGCTGATACAGAGGTAGATCGCGCGTTCGTGCGTCTCCGTGTGGAACATGTAGCTAAAGCAGGGGGCGGGGGGGGGTGCGCAGGTGGTCAGGGCATTGGGGCTGGGCTTGTGTATGCACGGTCCATGGATGCTTAGCCTGGCAGCACAGGGGAGAGCACCTACCCATCGTAGTCGTAGGACATCTTGCCGGGGTTGGACACATTGGACAGGACGCTGGTGGCGATCTTGGACAGGTTACCCGAAAGAGTTGAGTGATCGACGAGGATGGTGACCGCCGAGGGGGACGACATGTCCGAGCCGGGGCGGCGGGCCACAGCACTGTAGAGGATGCTCATGGGCGCGCTGCCGGGGCAAAGCCAGGGGAGGAGGAGGGAGGAGAAGTTAGTGGGTGCATGGGAGATCAGGCGCCAGAGATCTGGTTGTCGATGTGCGTGTGTGCGTGTGTGCGTGTGTGCGTGTGTGCATGCCCCATGTGCATGGGGATGGATGTATATGTACATGTGTAATGCGGGGCAAGGGCTCGCGCGGAGAGGAGAGGAAGGGAAAGAGGAGGAAAGAAGAGGAAGGGGGAGGGGGGGGGAGCAGGGAGATAAAGGGAAGGTGGGGAGTGTGCTGGTGCAGGGGGCGAAGAGTGATGTTTCACCGCTCCGGAGGACGCCAGGGCCGGAGAGCCTGATAAAATTCTTCCATCCCTGTCCCTGTCTCCTCTTTCGTCATCGGCTCCGGGCTGTTCGCTGTTCACGCGGAGACATCGGCCCCTGGCGGAGGTGCGGTCGACGCATCACGGGTACTCGGTCCCTTGTCTCCCCACGCCGCGGCCGCCACCACCCCAAAGGGGGCAGGGCACGGCCCGAGCATGCCGCCGGCACACTCCAACATCTGGCATCGGGCTGGGGCCGGAGGGCGGGGGGAGTTGCCAGGATTTGGCAATAACAAACCGCGCGGCGGTTCCGCGCTGGTCGCCGGCCCAGGGCCCGGAAGAGAGCTCTGGTGGGCTTGGGCACTGGGGCGGGGTGTGTGTGTGGGGGGGGGGAGGCTCCGCGCCCCCGTTCCCGCCCCCCGTCCCCTTCGACGACCTCTTGGGTCACGCCTGGAAAGCTGATTTTGGGACAAGCCGGGATTTGCAGCCCCCCGGCGGCGGACCCCGCGGCGTCCACTTGAGACCGTTCTGGGCTTCAGATGCGGTGCCCCGGCCACCTGAGAGGGGGCGGGGTGGCCCTGACGCATCCTCGCACGGCCAGGGCCCAGGTTTCAGGCCGCCGCCCCTCTGCCAGATACAGCCGTCCGGCAACTCTCCCTCCCCCCGGATTTGAAGAGTGCGTGTCGATCGGGGGGGGGGGGGGGGGGGGGGGGGGGGCTCGCCCCACGGGCGCGCCCGACTCCGATGGAAGGGAGATCCCCCCCCGGCCTTCCATGCCCCCCTCCTCGCGACCTGGTGCACCCGATGTGCCGGCCGCTAGTCCGGCCTTGCCTCCTCCCAGCTGCTCAAGGGAGGGAGGGTGTCTCCCGACGCGCATGATGCCAATCTAGCTGTTCGGGGCATTCTCGCCCCTCCCCCTCCTTCCCCCTTTGCCCCGCGGGCGACGGGGCCTCTCTGTGACGAGTCGATAGCCCGGGCCAGGGCCCGGCGGTAGGCACATGCCTGCCTCGCTCCCGACTCTTCCTGGGGGGGGGGGGGCCGGGACTTTCCCTCCGCTTCCACCCGCTGGACTCACGACCGCGCGCGCTCGCGCACAGACGTGCTCTAAATTGAGATCACTCATATACTGATTTATGAGCCCCCGAGCTGGGAACCGGCCCCCCCCGCCTCAATGCAGGGGCCACAGAGGCCCACTCCCCCCCCCCCCCAAATCCGCCCAATACTCCGGCGGTCAAGTGCACAGGCAAACCCTCCCCGCCCATACGCCATACCCCCTAAACCCTCTTTGGAGGAGACCATGTCTCAGGTCTCCCCCCCCGGCACAGGAGATGTCCGGCCAACGGGTTTCTCCGATGGTCCCCGCACAATCTATCTTCGCAGAACGCCATCCTGAATACTGGTGCCAACGCCACACAAAGTCTCGATGGTTGGGACTGGCCCCTCTCCGGGCTTGTTCGGTCCCGGACGTGGCCCAAGGGCCCGGAGCCTTCTGCTCTGCTCGGCTCTGCTCGGCTCTGGCGAGGTGCGCGAGAAAGATCGCGCACCGCCCTGCCCCTTGTCGAGAGGCGACAGAGGCAGTTGCACCCTTGCCGGGGCTGGGAACGTCGCTAGGGGATACCGGGGGCCCCTTCGCATTTCTTCCACTCCTTCCGCCGGCGGGCCCTAGTCCGAACAAGCCTGTGGCCGCGCGAATAACATGACCACATGAAAATGCTCGTTCGTCGATGGCTTCCGAGGCACATTCCCCGTCCCCGCGCACTGCGAGATGCCCGGGGACGGGGAGAGCCGAGAGGAGGTGCCAGAGCGCGCCCGGGCGCAATCGGGACCTGGTGTTTTTTTCCCACCCGATCTGTTGCCCCCCCCCC